AGCAAATACCTTAAATTTTTCTATTCCTCTAAATCAAGAAATCTAAAAGAAATGAACGAATGTCTATATGCCTATGAATCAACAAAATTAAACCAAGATGAAATAATTTAAATCTACAGATAATTAGATAATTTAGATAATAATTAGGTACTAATTTAGATCTATAACCAATGACTTTGAAGCAATAAGCCATCTCCAAAGTGGTGGGGATGGGGGTGGGGGGTGGGGGTGGGGGACGGGACACAAAAGCAGAATCTGATCAATTCACTGCAGAATTCAACCAGACTTTCAAAGACCACCAGTACTATTCAAACAATTACACAACATAGAAAAGGTAAGAATGCTTCCAAATTCTTTTTATGAAGCCAGTATTACCCTGCTCAAAACAAAATATTACAAACCAATCTCGCAGATAAATATAGATGCAAAAAAACTCAATAAAATACTTGCAATCAGGGCTGGTGAGATGTTCAGCAGCTAAGTACAATGGTTGATCTTCAGAGGACCTGAGTTCAATTCCCAGCATCATCACCATCTGCAATTCTGTTTCCAAGGGATCCAATACCCTCTCTGACCTCTGACACAGAAAAGGCTTTCAAGAAAATCCAACATTGCTTCATGATACATGATATGAACAGGTTATAGATGGAGAGAACATATCCCAACAAGATAAAGGCTATATTCTACAAACTTATAGCAAACATCATAGTAAATAGAGAAAAACCCAAAGCAGTCCCACTACAATGAGGAATAAGACAAGGATGTCCAGTATCTCCACTTGTATTTAATACAGTAACTGAAGTTTTAACTAGAACAAGACAAGAGAAAGAAGTTAAGAGGCAAGTAAAGGCTTAAAATATTAGTCAAAGTATCACTCTTTGCCAATAGTACAATCTTACACATGAGACACTAATTCCAACAATAGAGCTTGATACTCAGCAAAGTGACAGATTACAAAATGACCACACAAAAATCAATAGGCTTCCTATATATCAATGACAAACATACTAAAAGAAAAACCAGTGAAACAATCTCATTTACAATAGCCACCAAAAAATAAAATGAATGGAAATAAACCCAACTAAGGTAATGAAAAAAAAAAAAAACCTTTATAATGAAAACTGTAAGACACAGAAGAAAAAAATTAAGAAAGACACTAGAACATGGTATGGTTTTCCATGCTCATGGCCTGAAAGAATCAATATTATGAAAGTCACCATCCTACCAAAGGTAACCTGTAAATTCAATGCAATCACAATCAAGATTTTGAGGACTATCTTCACAGACAGTGAAAACACAATCTTAAAATTTATAGGGAAACAAAACACCAAGGAGAGCCAAAGCAATACTGATATACGAGGTATCACCATTCCTGAGTTCCAGTTAATCCAGGGAGCCACAGTAATAAAAACAGAATGGTACTGGCACAAATACATAAATCAGTGGAGTAGACTAGAGGACCCCAGATAGAAGTTCCCACAACTAAAGCAACCTGACTTTCCACTAAAAGCCAAAAACCTATATTAGACAAAAGAGATTGTCTTGGCAAATGATGGTTGGAAAACTGGGATATCATCTTGTAGAAGAATGAAACTAGATCCCTAAATCTCACCCTGCATGAAACTACATTCCAAATCTATAAAAGATTTCAATATAAGACCTGATATGCCGAAACTGCCAGATGAAACAGCAACAAGTACACTTTAACAGATAGGTAAAGGTGTTCAGAATAGCATAGGAAATAAGACCAACAATGGTCAAACAGGCTCTTGTGAAATTAAAAGGCTTTCTGCCCAACAAAAGAAACAGTTAATTGAGGGAAGAGAATTAGTAACTAGAATATACAAGGAACTTAAAAAACTAAACTACAGCTGGGCGGTGGTGGCGCACGCCTTTAATCCCAGCACTTGGGAGGCAGAGGCAGGTGGATCACTCAGTTCCAGGCCAGTCTGGTCTACAGAACATGTTCCAGGAGAGCCAGGGGATACACAGAGAAACCTTGTCTCAAACAAACAGACAAACAAACCAACAACCCCAAAACTTAACTCCAAAAAACAACCCAATTAAAACACAGGCTATAGAAACAAAACAAGAATAGAGCTCTCAAAAGAAGAATTATAAATGTCTAAGAAATCCTTTTAAAAGTCATCAACATCCTTGGACATAAGAGAAATGCAGATTAAAATTACTCTGAAATTCCATTTCACCCCAGTCAAAAGGGCCATCATTAAGATCACAAATGAAAAAAAAAAATGCTGCCATCAATGTTAATAAACAGGACTGTTATAAATTGCTAGTGGGGGTATAAACTAATGCAGCGACTTTGGAAATAAGGCTGAAGGATTCTCAAAAACCTAAAAATAAATCTACCATCTGGGCATGTACCCAGAGGAATTTATACCACACTACAGAGACACTTGAATCCATGTGTACTACAATACCTAGAAAATGGACAAAAATCGTTTAATCATTTGACAACTGAAGTTCCCAGGCACTAAGAAACCTCCTTTGGTCAAATATCTTGCAATTGTCAGCACGGGGCCTCCACCCTTTGTCTTCCTTGTACACCACAAGACACATTTAAAACACAATGAAAACATAAGCCCAACATGAACTGAAATGGTACTCAAAGTTGGGTCCACCAAAAGGGAAATAAAACAAATAAAAGATACCATATAGTGACATCAGCCTTCGGAAATGACGACATAAAATGATCAGTTGACCCTTTTGGGGTCTGTACACTTACCAGACCTTAACAAAGCAGGTGAAGAGAAGGCTGCATCAGGTGAGTGGGCCATTTCAACTTGACTCTTATCATAAGCGTGGCAGGCTAAACTACACCAATTTTAAAGCTGTTTAGTGAAGGTTAGAAGCAATCAGCGTTAGATTAATTGAAAGCAGTATGAGCAGTTATTAGCATGGTGCAATGTGCACAAGACAACTGAAGATCATTAAATAACTTTAGTTCATCTTTTACGACTTGAAAATTTGATTTCCTTTATTTGGTAAATTAAGTTTGCTTACACGAATAGACAGAAACATAATATCCACTTACTAAGAAACATTCCATAAGTAGCATCCTTTATTGTATAGTAAAGTTGTTGTGCTACTATGTAACAATGCTTAGAACTCCAAAGAGGAGTCTATCCCAGCAACAGGTTAATTTATATGTTTCAAACAAGGTTATTTATATATGCTCCTAAAGGTTGTAAACAGAATCAAGTTAATTCTTTGTAACAAGCAGAGAGTAAATAATGTGGTTCAAGAGGGTTTTTTTTGTCTATATTTCTCAGAGTCTGAAAATCAGAAACTACAAACTAATTTTTAAAGATTTGCTTCAATTGCTAACTTTTTTTTACTTCTATCTAAATTTTACTCATAAATTAAACATACAGGAACATTTGAAAATGATACTATACAGGTAACTACTTGTACATGGGACTTGGTTTAAGAAACTGCATTCAACAATAGCAAAATTAAACAAAATTTACCCTATTAAGAAAAGTAAGGTTTTCAAAGTTCACTGCTATAACATGCATTTGAGCAAAACAAAGACTTGAAGAGAAAATAGACTCTATATGCTTACTAAAAGGAATTATGTTGCAAAAAATATGTGTTGGGGGCGTTGTTCAACTCCCCGGAAGACTAGTTATTCTTTTTGCCCAGGAAGATCAACCCCACAACACTATTTATACTCCCACATAGTTAGTAATCAAGTCAATACTCCTAGGACATAAAAATTTTTTAAGAAAAAGTAGAAAACATATTCCATGACTGTTTAAAGTGTTCTTACTCTAAACTGAAGTCAACTACTTTTTGAGAAATTCTCCCAACTTTTCATGTGGTTGTTCCACTACAGCCCTAAGTAAATAAAGACAAGGATTTTAAGATTTAAAGCAGAATGAAATTCGTACTTTCCACAGTCTTTCCTCACTCTTTTTAAAAAGGAAAGGTTCTTGACTGAAGATTTGTCATTCCACCATCTCGTGTTTAAGGACACAGTTTTTGCTCAAGATTCTATCCAGTTTAAATGGGAGCAGTTTCAAACTTGGCTCTCCGAGGAGTTATTAACCAGGAGTACTAACTTTTAAATCGTCAGTGACTTTGCAATTTGAACAAGTCAGTTCAGGACACTTGGACTGTTGGCATCTTCTGACCTCCGTGGTTGGGAACCACAACTGGTAACTACAGGTGCTGGGATCACTTGGCTCGGGAAGTGGCCAATTTCATTCTGAACCCTAACTGTACACTAACTTACTTTGTGGCCCAGACCCTGTTTTCCTCAACTCCTGACACACAGAACTGTGTGCGGCTCAAAATTACTGAGGAATGTGAAGGGGACATAAGAAATAACACAAGAATAGTCGCCCACTCTTTAGGATCTCACTAAAAATGAAGGTCTGTCTACTTTTTCAGGGGAGGAGTGGTGGTAGGCACCCTTCCTTTCCCAAGAACTTGTCACTGGGGCAACTTTCCTGGAGAAGTCAGCTTGCCGCTAATTTTGAAGAGGAAATAACATGGGGGAAGAAACACGGAAGTTTTCTAAATGCGAGAATTGCGGGGCATAGAGAGTGGAGGACAGGGCGTAACAAGATCGGGGCACAGCCAGGGCCACCTATTGCTTTCCGAAGACAACTTAGAGACACAAGTTGATTCCCCATGATCGAGCCCATCTGCCTCCCTCCAGGGGACTTAAGGAAGAGCACCACCCACTGTACCCCTCAGGGGCAAGGTTGTTGTCACAGGCAGCCAAACCTGAGCGCTTGGCCCGGGCTCGTCGCTCCAAGACCTTCCAGCTTACTTCGGCCATGAGTCCCTCCGCCCCCGCCATCGCGCAGTGCCCACCGCCCGGGCTGCCAGTCAGCACCGCCCGCCCGGCCCCGCCCCCGCGCGCGACACTGTCGGGAGGCACGCCGGCCGGAAGTGAGCTGCCAGCCAGACGTCGCCCTGGTTCCTTGGCCTCTTGGTCGTCGGAGGGACAGCCCTAGGCGAGCGTGAGAGTGCAGAGACGGGCAGCCCGTGAGCCCGCACCCTGAGTCTTTTCTCGGTCGGCCGGTCGCACGGTGCTTTGCGGCTGCCGTCAAGCGCGGCGGAGGCCGGCCGGGCCGAGGGCGCCATGGCGGCAGGCCTGCTGCCTAGCGCCGGGGCGCTGCTGGCGCCGCTGCTCTTGGGGCTCGCGCTGCTGGGCGTTGGGCCTGCCCCGGCGCGGGCTCTGCACAACGTCACGGCCGAGCTCTTTGGGGCGGAGGCCTGGGGCACCCTGGCGGCCTTCGGGGACCTCAACTCCGACAAGCAGACGGACCTCTTCGTGCTGCGGGAAAGTCAGTGCTTGCCGGCCCTCCCTCTGTTCGCCCCTCCCGGTGTACCCACGCCCCCTTGTTCCTGTTACCCTCCCTCTTGCATTTCCCAGCCTTGAGGCTCTCCCTTTTATCTTCATCATCCTTGACAGCTTTCCCTGTCCCCAATTTTTATCAACCCCGGGTTGACCCAATCACCGCGCGTTTTTACCATCAATTCCTGAAGCTTAGGAACACACCAGCCTGCCTCCCTTCAGCCAGCCTACAGCCTTCACCTGGTGAATATTCACCTGACTGACAAAGTCCTTCCTGATTCCTGAGAATCTTAGTATCTGGCCTCTGCTTTCCCTTCTTTTGTCCAATGTTCCGCCCTCTTTGGTCAGAAAAGATGCAACTTGACAGTTTTTTCTTATGAGAAATGTACTGCCTCTACTACTACTCAGTTCATCTGCCCTTCCTTTTGTTAAGATCCACGTTTCTTTGAAGGCAGTGTGCCTTCCAAAGGCACCAAACACTCCACAACTCACACAAGCGTTTTTTTGTTAACTGCTGATAAACGCAGACTTCTCCAGCATGATCTGCCTGGTCTTTTAGAGTACATCTGACCCTTCCTTACCTTGGTTATTACTGTAGTCTTCAACACCTCATCACTGTAGGCTTGCACATCACTTTGGCCAACTTGCCATTCTTGAAAGTTCAATAACTATGTTAAGCCTTAAAAAAGAAAGAAATCTGATGCTAACAAAGTACATTCATTAGTAGGTGCTGGTTAAGGACCAAGGCCATGAATAAAGTTAAAAGCTGATACAGAGCTGAGTGGCAAGATCCCAAAAGGACTTTTGAGGGCTCTTTCCAGCACGGAAGAATCTCTTATAGACTTGTTTTCCCTGTATTTGAATAATTACCCGTATTGTAAGAATGGTGCAAACCTATTTAGGTAATCTGGCCAAACTGGGTCCAGAGACTCTCCTTAACGTTAAAGATACACTATGTTTGATTAAGTATTTCTGAAAGTCTGGCCCAGTGAGAATTGAGTTCCATGGACCCATCCATGCAGAAGGTAGTTCCATAGCAAGCAAAGGAGGAAAGTTTGGAGGGCTCTGCTTTTTCTGCTTATGTGTTGAATTGTCTCCTTATTACTTGTGAGAAGAATATGTAGTAGGAATTCCTGAATCATTGGCATGATGAATTTGTGTAATGAAATAAAGAGCCTCCTATAAGGGAGATCGGATTGGATGTGGAAAACACAAAGGCTTAACTATAGTAAAGTAAGGCTTAACTACTGTAAAGCACAGTAAAGAATAAGGGTTTTGTTGTTTTTGGTGTGTGTGTGTGTGTGTGTTTTCTGCGTTGCTGCAGATCAAACCAGGATCTCATACTCGGGTAGAAGAGGATAGTTTAAGATGTCTTCTTTATATGGATGGTTCTTTTAATTTAGCCCACCAGCCTCTTGATGGAATACCATGGCTTGGCTTTGCCTTGAACAAGTATGCTTTTCCATACTGCCCTTTCCTACATTCCATTAGTGTGAGTACCCTTGACAGTGCTCTCTGCTAGATTAGAATAAAAGTCTTCTTATAGAAACAGTACCTAGAAATTTTTAAGCACTGACTGGATGATTTACCAAAGACCTTTTTTTCTAAAATTATTTATTTGCTTCTTTTAGGAAATGACTTAATCGTCTTTTTAGCAGATCAGAGTGCACCCTATTTTAAACCCAAGGTAAAGGTATCCTTGAAGTAAGTACAAATGCTTATTTTGGGAAATATTAGCCCTTATAGTTTGAATATGCTGTAGCTTGGGTTGTATCTGAAATCAGTTATGCTCAGCTGTGGTATTGTGACACAAAGTTCCTAGTTCTGGAGTCTGAGTAGTGAGCAGTTTGTTCAAAATGAATAAATAAAATAGACATGATAAAGATTGGGGAGATGGCACTTCACTACTAAGTCTGATCACCTAAGTTTGATTCCCAGGATCCATGTGGTGGAAGAAGAAAACTGACTCCTGCAAATTGTCCTCTGATCTCTCCTCATACACTGTGGTGTCAGCACACACACACACACACACACACACACACACACACACACACACACATACACACACACACACACACACACAGCATACACACACACACACACACACACACACACACAGCATACACACACACACACACACACACACACAGCATACACACACACACACACACACACACACACACAGCATACACACACACACACACACACACACACAGCATACACACACACACACACACACACACACACACAGCATACACACACACACAGCATACATACACACACACACACACACACACACACACACACACAGCATACACACACACACACACACACACACACACAGCATACACACACACACACACACACACACACAGCATACACACACACACACACACACACACACACAGCATACACACACACACACACACACACACACACACACACACACAGCATACACACACACACACACACACACACACACACAGCATACACACAGAGAGAGAGAGAGAGAGAAATACATATAAATAATTGAAAATAAAATTTAAAAATAATCCATCTTTACAAAAATAAGTTTTGTCAGTGGATCCAGGTCCGTTCTGTATAAACATCCTTCATTCCCTTGCAAATTAATATGCTTTCTTGAATGAACTGCATCTCATGATAGTTCCCGCAGAAGCAGATCCCTCATGAAAGTCTCACCATCTTAAAAATATTTTGCATGTAGAAGAAAGACCTGTCCTGTTTTGTTTTGTTTTTATTTTTTCCTTTTGATCTAATGGTGAATTTTTAATGCTGATTTTGACAGAACTGAAATCAAGCTTTTGAAATTATCTTAAATTTTAAAATGTGATTTAAATAATAGTTCTTGTCATTCCTTTTTCATGGTTGGCTATGATGAAACATTGATCCCAATGATAGTGAGCCAACATGTTGTGGGAACTCTAGGAAACAAGTTGGATGCTCTCTCTAAGCTAATGGAGAAAGAGATGGGTCACTGTAAACCAAAACTACAGCTTCCAGACAGTCATGAGATTTGAGCTTAACAACATAGCTTGAATAACATTTATTTGATAGTATTTAAGTTTGAGTACATAGCATTTATAAAAGATGGAAGTGAAAATAGCATTTTGCAAATGAGTGAGAAGATTTATTGACAGAAAAGGTAGAGACTCTTGGGAGAATGATAGTCTGGGAAAAGGAAGTCAGAGCAGACTAGCATCCTTCCTGAATACTGAAAATGTTTGAATTCAGTTCTGTGAGAAAAGAGGAGTCAGTATATGTTGTACAAAATACACATTATGAAAAATGTACTTATATTGGTTTACCTGTTATTTACATAAAGTATGAATTGGGATTATAGACTAAGTAATGTATTTTTTAATTACTGCAGAGGAGATAGGAAGATGGCTCTGTAAAGTACCTGCTTCACAAACAGGAAGAACTGAATTTGCATTCCCCTCTGGGATAGAGGGGACAAGATTGACAGACAGATCCCTCCAATTCAGTGAGAGACCCAGTCTCAAAAGATAATGTGGCAAACAACTGAGGAAGGCATGCACTACCATCTCTGTGTATTCACATCCCTGTGGGGCTCACTAGTGCTCAAATCCAATAGTATTTAAACACAGAATGCTGTAAAACATTGGCCTTAAATATAGAACATTGGGAGGAAATTTATAAATGAATGAAAAAGAATTTATTCTCAGAAATATTTTTGGAGTAATTGATGCCATGAGTATTTGGAGTAAGAAAAACAGAAATGGATAAATACAAGAAATGAACTAACCACCTGAAAGTGAGGTGTTTTTTCCTTTGAGAATTATAAGTCAAGGAAATACATAAGATATAAAGGGCTTGGATTTTATTTTTTTATTTTGTTTTGTTTTGGTTTTTTGGTATTTTAAGACAGGGTTTCTCGGTAGCTTTAGTGCCTGTCCTGAAAAGCTCTGTAGACCAGGATGGCCTCAAACTCACAGAGATCCATCCACCTGTTTCTGCCTCCAGAGTGCTGGGATTAAAGGCCTTGTCCACCACCACCCAGCCAGTTTTATTAAGTTAAAACAAAACCTCAAATTTTGTTTTTAATTAATACAATATTATATTTTTAAATTTAGAAATTGCTATTTTAATTTTTTGAAGATTAAGATTTGTCTGTCTCTATCTGTATGTCTGTGCGTGGGCATGTGAGTGAGTGCAAGTGCCTTCAGAGGTTAGAGTGGGCTTCTGCTCCACAGGAGTCACATGTGTTTGTGAGCTGTCCTCCCTTCCTGGTGCTGGGAACCAAACTCCTGTCCTTTGCAAGAACAGGACATTTTCTTAACCACTGAACCATTTCTTTGGTTTTTGGTTTTTGGTTTTTGTTTTTTTTCGAGACAGGGTTTGGTTTCTCTGTGTAGTTTTGGAGCCTATCCTGGATCTCGCTCTGTAGACCAGGCTGACCTTGAACTCACAGAGTTCTGCCTGCCTCTGCCTCCTGAGTGCTGGGATTAAAGGCATGTGCCACCACCGCCCAGCATTCTTCAGCTCTTTGTTTTAATTAGCATTTAGAATATTTTTGAAAGTAAAAATAATTGTCTTTTTATTCCTGCACTCTATTATTCTTCTCAGATACAACCATTTTTAACCTTTAGTGTTTATTTCCATGTTTTCAAATAAATTTCTGTGCTGTGGTTTTGTTTTTGTTCTTCTTAAATATTTATTTTTATATGTATGTATATATCTGAGTGTCTATAAGTGCACCATGTGCATACAAGAGACCTCAGAGGTCAGAAAAGGGCATTGGATCCCCCTGGAACTGAAACTATAGTTCTGAACCACCTTGTTGGTGCTAGGACCCTAACTCATGTCCTCTGCAAGAACAGCAAGTGCTCTTAACTGCGGAGCCATCTCTCCAGCCCCCTTGTATTCATTTTGCTTATGTTTAATAACAATGGAAGTCAAACTCAGAGCCTCATCTGTACTGAGCCAGTGCTTGAACATACTGACATACTTCAGTTTTACGGTAGTATATAGAAACTGTTATATGTTCCATTCATTATTAATTCTTCTGTAGACCTGAAGGATCTATACACCTAAGGGGGCATAAGGTACAAAAGAAACAATAAATTTAATTATTTCTATTAAATCTTGAATTTTGAATTGAAAATATTTTGCATAGTAAATATATAGACAGCCTTTTCTGCTATAACTTTTCTGATATTTTTCAAATTCTTATTTCCTTTAGGAGTCACAGTGCATTAGTAACAAGTGTAGTCCCTGGTGATTATGATGGGGATTCACAAATGGATGTCCTGCTCACATATTTTCCCCAAAATCATAGCAACAATGAATTAGGAGCTGTTATCTTCTGGGGACAAAATCAAACATTAAGTGAGTTTTAAATTTTTTACTATTTATTATTGACTGGAAAGGATAAATTTTGAAAACATACCTGATATTCTTAATGAAAATGTAACAGTTATTGTTCTCAAAACAATGGAATATTCTGTTCTCATGTTCTAGTAAAAACTTCTTAAAAGCTTATTTTCTTTTGCAAACTAACCTAGTCCATTCTAGAGAGCAAAATCCACTCTTGATTGCTTCAAGAAGAGATCCTATTAGCTTTTTAGTGGTGTTGGAGTAACTAAAGAATTCACTCCAGGCCTAGTATAATGCACAACTTTATCTCAGCACTTGGGAGGCAGAGACAGGTAGATCTCAGACTTCCATGCCTGTCAGAGCTAAATGTGAGACTTTGTCTCGAGGCAAAAAGAACAAACTTCAGAGCTTTGAGGGAGCAATCCTAAGGACATTAAGGAAAGTGCTGTGTCCTTTAGCTATGAGAAGTGGCCGGGTGGACAACAGCTGTTCAGATGATATGCCAGTTCTGCTAATAGTCTCTCAGCAAAATGAATGGTACACTTGGCCTCCTAATACTGCCAAATTCAGTGTGCACACACAAAGATGGGGGTATAGAATTGTAGACGTTGCCTTACCACACATGCCTGTAAGAATCACAGTCTGTCTGGTTAGCAAGTGTCTTAGGTAGGGTTTTATTGCTGTGAAGAGACGCTGTGACCACAGCAACTCTTGTAAAGGAAAACATTTAATTAGGGCTGGCTTATAGTTCAGACCTTTAGTCCATTGTCATCATGGTGGGAAGCATGGTGGTGTGCAGGCAGACATGGTGCTGCAGAGGCAGTTGAGAGTTCTCCATCTTGCTCCACAGGCAGCAGAAGTGAATGCAACAGTAGGCCTATCTTAGGCACCTGAGCCTTCAGGCCCACCCTCACAGTGGCACACTTACTCCAACAGGGCCACACTTCCTAATAGTACCACTCCCTATGGGCCAAGCATTGAAACACTTGAGTCTGTGGGGGCCATACCTATTCAAATCACCACAGCAAGGCTTACATTATTTTAGCATCGCAATGATAGAATATCTGGCAAACCCGTCTTTTTGCTTTCTAGTTTTCCAGTACAGAAAAGTACTAAAAGTTATAGGTTGTGAGTCAATATACTATATCCATCCATGAATCTTGAAAGCCTATCTGAAAAGCCAATTGATAACTCAGAAGTAGACAGCTTTATTCAAAAAGGGTAAATTCAGGTGTGCTTTTTGTCAACATTTGGGAATACAAACAATAATCTTAATGCATCCAATCATCCTTTAATTTACAAGATACCATATGCAAGTGCTGCTTATAAAAAAACAAAAAACAAAAACATGGACATGGCAGAGTGGAATAGGTTTAGAGACGCTATTTTATTTGTTTACATTGAAGTCTTGTTGATTACTAAATTGTACAGAAAGATAATTCAACTAAAGGATATCTAAATGGGAACTTCAAATGAAATTGTCGATTGAATCTTCACTATAACTTGAACTCTTGTATGTCTTACCATTAAATGAAACTTTTGATGTCTCCTTAGTAGTAACTGTTGCAGGAAGTTAGAGATGAATCTTGTAAAGAATTCTTTGAATGAAAGAATACTTTGTAGATAAGAAAAATAATTTTAAATGCCTAGCACTTTATATTTGTATGTATTGTATGTATATATGTATATGTGTGGATATACACATATATATCCTTTTTTTACAGATTCTAAGAACATGACCATACTCAATAGGACTTTTCAAGACCAACCACTGATTATGGAGTAAGTATGTGCTTGCTTTTGAATAGTTTAAAACTTAGAAACATAAAATAAAATCTTTTATGTAGGAAATTACTTTCTTTACAGTCTTTACAATCTAAGTAAGACTGATACTAAATTCACTTCTTGAAACTTAGAGGAACCTGTGTATGTGATTTGTTTGCTGTGATGAAGTAAAGGCACAAACGAAAGAAAAACTTGATTATCCTGCAGAAAGGAAGATACGGATTTTTTTTATTTGGATGACTTCATATTTGTTCCTTGTGGTATAGTGATATGTAGTCATGTATCATTCTTTAATTAAGATAGCAATTTTTGAGTTAAAATGTTTATTGACAAATATGAAGAATATAGTGTTCCCTCCAGAAATGGGGAAAGATTTCCACATTAAGAAGAAAATGTAGTCCTTGAAAATAAATCTTCCTTTATGTTATTTATTTACTCAAAATAAATGAGATGACTCAATCTAAATTTTGAACAAGATAATATAGGTAATGAGGTAAAGATCATTCTTGGAACATAAAATATGGTCACGTTCTGGTTCGCAAGTGATACCATTTACAGTTAGTAAAATCATTCCCACATCATGGGTCAAAGGTGATAAGTCTGAACTAGAAACCCATAGAGTGAACTTCTGAAGAGTGCTTTCTGTATGACTGCTATATAGATGTATAATAGAGGTATGCAAGTCAAACACTCACTGACTGTGAATCATTAAAAACTTTATTTTAAAATAATTGCTTTTTATACATATAATTTTGTTGCTAATTTAAAATTAGTTAAATTTACCTACAAAAACGAGGGTGTTCTTTTTTACCTTTACATAGGAACCAAATCTTGGTTGAACATTCCATAGTGCAGCATGTAGACCTTTTTCATTGTTTTCCAAGATGATCAATATTTTCATCTTCTAAACATCAGATATTTTCATTTTCTAAATATCAATGTTGAGAAATATATATAATAAATATATAATTTTTTTAAATGGCAGATGTTTGTTTAGGGTCATTTCAGAAATTGTTGGAAAGTCTGCTTAATACTAAGCCATTATTGAATGATTTTTTTTTATGAAATTAAGTGAACAACTTAATTAATTTTAAAAATCAAACATGCTAACAATACAATTCAAATAGTTGCTAATTTGGTACTTACATGCCTGTTTTCTCTCTGTAATTAAACCATTATGTTTCCATAACAGCACAAACTGTATTCTCAGAGCACTGCAGTTCATACCGTGCAGTAGTACTGATGTAAGCAAGGAGTTTCAGGCAGCAGAGCATTGGTTGCCATTGGATGGTGCTTGGTACTTGTTTTGTGTTTATAACCAAAGTTGCAGTGCAGTTATATAATGCAAAAATACCTCAGATTCATCATAAGTTTGGATTTAAATTAATTTTTGGTTGTTTAAAATTCAAAACCTTTTTATTGTTGCCAAATAGTTGCAACTCGTACATCAATTATGGAATCCCATTTGAGGTCACAATCCATCCTTTAAGAAGCCAAGCCCCATATTACACAAAGCTCACAGATAAACCCAAAAGGGCACAAAACTAACATTAATTCTTGCTCTAAGATGCGTCCAGTATGGGTTAGCAAGAGGTTTTTTGTTTTGTTTTGTTTTGTTTTTTATGCTACTGCTTAGAAAGTCGAGCTGTCAGAACCCCTCTGTCTCCAAAGGTAGCTCATGCAAATACAGTTCTTTTTTTTCTTTCCTTTTTTTTCTTGAGGTTATATTATAATTACATCATTTTCTCTTTCCCTTTCCTCCATCAAAACTCTCCACATATCCTTCCTTGCTCTCTTTCAAATTAATGGCCTCTTTTTTCTTAATTGTTGTTACATGCATATATGTATGTATGTATCTATTCCTAAATATAACCTGCTCAGTCTCTATGATGTTACTTATGTATATGTTTAGAGGGCTGACCATTTGATACTAGATAAACAATTAGTATACTCGTCCCTGGAGGAGACTATTTCTTCCACACTCAGCCTTCCTTAGTTACCTATAGTTCTTTGTGTTGAGGTGAAGCCTCCTGGGCTTTCACACATGCACTTTAGCATGTCTGCTATTGTTATCTTTGTTCAGCTCATGTTTAGGCAGTCATGTTGGTGAACCATTCGTAGATAGAGCATCTATGACATTTTTAGGAGACACTGTCTCACAGCAAACTGTGAGAGCCTGTTCCTCTGGCCTTCCCAATCTTTCTGTCCCCTCTTCTGCAATGATCCCTGAGCCTTAAGTTCAAGAGTTGTGTTGTAGATGTATCAGTTGGGAATGAATGGTCTCCATCTGTTGAAAAGAGAATGAAAAGAGAAGTTTCCTTGATGAGGTATGGGGACTATACTTATCTGTGAGGATGAGGACAAATACTGAGAATGTAATAAAGATTGTGCTGGTTTAGTAAAGTGGAGGTTGGTAAGTTCTCCTCCAAGATCCATGACTTCACTACCTTGGGTAGTTGACAAGGTTTTGAGTACCAGATATGATTTCACTGTTGTTGAGAGGGTCTTAGTTCCAATCCAAAAAGCTGTTGGTTACTACCCCAATCTGAGTGCCACTACTGCATCCTTAGGGTTATTGTGCCATGCTGTTTGTTGATGTGGTTCATAGGCGTCTAGCTGGGTAGGACTGTTGGTTGCTTTCGTCTTTTGGAAGTTTGTATTGCAGCCTCTGTTACCATGAAAGCTTGTCCTCGGGGAAAACATATTTAGGTGAGTTCTAGCTCAGGGACCTCTTGGTCGTGTGTCTGAAGAGCATGTCTTCAGCACTAGACACTCACCTTCTACCTCCTGGGGGAAACCCAATGAAATAGCAATAGCAGGTAATATTTGGGGTGTTTCTTGGACAGCTCTGATCAACAACTCAAAAGACAGCTTGCATGCCTGGTGTTGGGGTTTTTCTTAAATGGTCTTTGACCCTTGGAGGAAGCATTGTCATGGGTGAGAATTTTCATTTAAGTTTCATTTCAGTTAAGTATATTTATTCACGAACTTAACTTGTATGTATTTTTAGGTAGATAGGTAATGGTATGATTCCTTATAATGCAAATCTAATTCTTACAGTTGCTGCAGCAGGTTTATTGCAACTGGTGGGTCCATTAGCAAAACTAAAAGACTTTGGTCTGGAAGGAGCAACTGTCATTTCTGCTTCCTTGGCCACAAATAGAGCCTGTTGAGTATGGTAATGCTCCACACTCCTGAAAGCTAAGTTAAAAGTGGCACTTTAATAAAACAGCTGCCTAATTTTTAAACTATTCTCTTTTCAGCTTCAATGGTGACCTAATTCCTGATGTATTTGGTATCACAAATGAATCCAGCCAGCCACAGATACTGTTAGGAGGGTGAGTAACAAGAGTATAGCTGTGTAATTAATCATATGTATTCTTGCTGCTGCCAGGGCTGTGTGTGAACATTTGCTTTAATCTTTGAAGAAAAGCCTACTTACTGGAAATGCTTGTTTAAAAAAAAATGTTTTTGAGAGTATTTGGTCAACATGGAAGCTTTCTCAAAGAGTTTGGATTTGATTTGTAACCATTTTGTATGTAGACCTGCCTTAGTCCTTTCTGCAAGTAGCTATATAGGCTTTACAGATCTCCATGTAAATAGCAGTTCATTAGGTGTTGCTGGAATTTAAATAAGATGAATAACTGTAGTCTGCTAGGGCCATCGTTGTTCTGTTAGCTCCTATACTTAAGTTCATAAGCTTTAGTTCTTTATTTCATTTGTAAAATAAAAAAGTAAATGAATAATTGCCTAAAAATTTAAGCACCCCCTTTAGTTCTGGAAACTTTTCAGTGTGAACTTTGTCATTAACCAGTATGTATACACGAAGGTTTTCATGTTGTTTATGGATGCAGTTCAAAGGTCTATAGCTCAATTCCTCTGGATTCCAATACAACTTTCCTCCTAACTCGGGACTAGTGATGGCAGGGTGCTTTACATGAGGGGCCTTCAATCTGTTTTCTGAGGTTTCATTTTTTTCTGCATCTGGCAAGGCAGATTTTTGTCCCTGTATAGAGAGCATATTAGTTTGTTTGCTTGGCCTTTGAGGAAGTGCAGAGAATCACCCTTGTCAGTATGTCTTCCAACAGTTATTTGGAGCTCCAACAAATTTCTGTTTTTGATGCATAATATATTTTTATGATTATGTTTTCTAATGTAATTTATAGGTGGACATGAGTAAATTATATTTAAGGTGTCTTGTGGAGAAATTCTCAGATTTCCTATCACCTTTTCTAAAGGTTTTTCGTAATATAAATGTTTGTACACTTATCATAATGAACTTTTAGAAAATTGTTGTGAATCTTGAATGATTCCTCCAAACTACAAAGTATCTGAAACCAGTCATACTCTAGAGATAACTTGAAGCAGATCTTCATTTGGTTTAGGACCATTTCTAAAAGGAACAGTATAAGTGGAAGAAAGTCATGCCCTCACTGTCCCCTCCCCAGAAGGTCGGGACTCCTCAGGAAGTTCAGGCTTCTCAAAGTCAGGCTCGTGACTAAGATTGTGCTGGTGGCCTCTGCCCAGTTATTTCATGGCATCTCCATCTTGGCCTACATCATTGGAATATCATCACTGTAGTTTCTTTATCTGACAGATACTTTCATTTGCAGCATTTCTGTTTGATCCTTTTACAGATCCTCAGTTTTCTTGCTGAACTTTTCCACTATGCTGTTGAAACTGTTGGGTATATTACTCACATCTTCATATGCTGTGTTACTTTCTTATCTAGTCCTGAATTGATTTTTTTTTTTTTTTTTTTTTTTGGTTTTTTCGAGACAGGGTTTCTCTGCCGTAGCTTTGCGCCTTTCCTGGATCTCACTCTGTAGACCAGGCTGGCCTCGAACTCACAAAGATCCACCTGCCTCTGCCTCCCGAGTGCTGGAATTAAAGGTGTACGCCACCACCACCCGGCCTGAATTGATTTTCTTACTTAAATTATCCTCTGTGATCACTGCTTCTTTTGGAAAGTAGGACTCTAAAATCTTTCAGCTGTTTCCTGTTCTTTAGTTTCCAACACTAAGGGCTTAGTAGGTTGTGGTGGTATCATACTGGCTTGTTTCTCACACTTTTTCATTTTTTTTTTGTTGTGTTTCATACATTAATTGAGATAGATGTGTCTTTTTGTTAGACACTGAAGATTAATTGTTATTTTCCCATCTGTTTGTTTTCCTGATGAGTTGTCTTTGGGGGTTTGTTTCCTATTGCCAAGTTAGAGGGAAAGCCAACTATAGCAATGAAATAGTGATTTGACAGCAGTCCAAATGTAAACACACAGTAAAAACACCGTTTGCTTCCTGTATGTGTCCAGTAAGGCTCAGAGGCAGAAGCACTAGCACTGTTGCGAAATGCAATGTGTATATTTTCAGAGCTAAGGGTGCTAATAGTAAAAGGCAAAGAAAAGGAGGACAGAGGAAGTAATCTATGAATGGAAGGGAAAGTATATGGGTTAGAACTATGAGAAATAATAGAGAAAATGTTATAGAGAAGGTGCATGAAAAGAAAGAAGGCCAGCAAAGTGGCCCAGTGAATGTAAATGCTTGCCACCATGCCTGAGGGAGACATGGCTCTATCCCCAGGACTCATACTGGTAGCAGGAGAGAACCAACTCCCCCAAGTTGTCCTCTGAGCTCCACAAACATTCTATGGCATGCAAACCCTCCCAAAATAAGTAAATATATGTATAAATTATAAGTGAACAGTTATAGAAAATCTGTTAGCTAAGATAAAAGCTTAAACAAAACCAAAAAATGGAATACAGAAGTATAAATTTTAAAAATAAGCCGGGCGGTGGTGGCGCACGCCTTTAATCCCAGCACTCGGGAGGCAGAGGCAGGCGGATCTTTGTGAGTTCGAGGCCAGCCTGGGCTACCAAGTGAGTTCCAGGAAAAGGCGCAAATCTACACAGAGAAACCCTGTCTCGAAAAACAAAAAAAAAACAAAAAAAAAAAAAAAAACCAAACAAAAAAAATAAATATAAAGATAAGAAATGAAATAAGAACTATTTATTATCAGTCAGTATTTCTTCCTAATTAAGATGGTTTTCCCCAGCTCCTTGGTTCTGACTTTGTGGCTGGCTCTGGAGAGTAGGGATTCTAATCTCCATAACTCAGACCAGTTAGACTGTATGTCAATGCCAAACGGAATCTATGTGTCAGCCTTTCTAACTTTCTTTCTAGAGGTGCTTCTTAATTCTTTCTGGTGTTCTGGGGATCACACTACCTTGTGGGATTTTATGGACTCTGGGTTATAAGCCCATGCTTGGTTTTACCTTTGCCACTGATGTTTTCTGCCTGCCTCCATCCTAGCCACAGTTCATGTTTGAAAAGACCTGTACCCATTGAGAGACTGTTTCTGATTCCACATGCTTCTCACATTCCCATGGTGTGGCTCTCCGAGGCTGCAGTGGGTGCAGCCTTCCCTCTGTTCTTCAGACGAGTCAGTACAGGTGTTTGTGGAGAATCCCAGCTTCGGGTTTGCACACTGCGCTTCTGCAGCAGCCAACGCTAGCCCACCATCTCTCAACCCAGTAGGACCCACTCTGTGAGCCTGTTTCTGCAGGCCCGGTCAGTCTGCCATCATTGAAACAGCTATCACTTCATTTCATTTGACATTTCAAATTGAAGTCTATAAAACAGCCAAAATAGTAGTTCAAAAAGTAAAATTCCAATGTCTCCAAGGACTTTTATTAAATCAATCAGAAAACCTCTTGAGAGTATCATATGAAAGTGTCATGGCTTATTTAACTTCTATGTTAGGTTTTTCTCTAATACTTCTTTAAATAGTATAGCTTTTAAAGTTATTCTGCCTAAAAATATGTTACTTTTTGTTTCTTATAATATATATATGTATATACATATATATATATTAGCTGAGGATCAAACCCAGGGCCTTGTGCTTGCTAGGCAAGTACTCTACCACTAAGCTAAATCCCCAACCCTAAACTATATTTTTATATGCAGCAGATTAAATTAATATTCTGTTGTTATATGACATCTCTCATTCAAATGTCAGTCACAGATTAAAAAGTAGTAGCCAAATTTTCTCTAAGTGATATAGCCTGAGGCCAACCTAATGAATATTTTAAAGATTATTTTGTGTGTGTATGTGGTATGAGTGTATATGTGTGCATGCATAGAGAGAGAGAGAGAGAGAGAGAGAGAGAGAGAGAGAGAGAGAGAGAGAGAGAGAGAGAGACGGGGAGGGGGCGGAGTGTTGGGTACCCATTACACCAATGTTGTTCAATTCCCTAGAGTTGGAGTTACAGACAGTTGTGAGCCTGCCTGGCATGGATGATGGGAATTGAACTTGGGTCCTTTGCAAGAGCAATATTTACTCTAAACCTATAATTCATCTCTCTAGCCCCAAACAATTTTTTTAATTCACACACACAAAAATTTCTCTTGTGGTTGGAAGTATAGTTTATTTCTAAGAAATATGATTAGCGTGCAAAAAATCCTGGGTCAGTTCTCCCCACACAAGGATGTATGTGCACACACACAGACATACCGGCTTTCTGTCAGTACCATTATGAGATGATTGTCGATAAGATAAAGCTGAGCATATCCCTATGAGAGCAAACATTAGTGTATTGGGCTTCCTCCAGAAAGGGTCCACATCCCAAAGGTTCCATAAGCTCCCCAAAGAGTGCTACAAATGGAGGATGAAGCATTAACTATGTGAACCTATAGGAGACATACCTCATCCAAACCATATGTGTGCAGGTGTAAGCACGGGTGAAAAACACAGCACATATGTACAGGTGAAAAAAGCACCAGCAAAAGAAATTCTGCACTATTTAGACTTTGATTAGCAATGCAGACTTATTAATTAGGAACCAAATCTAACTTTTGCAACTTAACCGCTATGCATTATGGATATGCCACTCCTAAGTGTATTTACTTAAATTTGGCTAACAACATAGTTTTACAGAAAACTTGGGATGATTTTTTTTTTTACATAGGGTACCAAATACTTTAAGATTGTGCTGGGAATCCCAGGTTTATAACCTGGCCTAACATTTGCTTAAAAATAGGTGACTGCCCACAGTAAAAGAAACAGAATCACTTTGGCTGTAGTTACAGTGATTGTGGTCAGTTTAAGTAGGTGGTGAGTCCCATGTTGTTGATCCAGTGGAGGTTATCTAACAGGGAGATAACAAAACTAATAAGATGGAGAGCGTAATTGTATTACGTCAAATGGTCAAATGTGAAGCTTCAGTTTGTGCCTCAAGTTCACTTTATACTGGCTTGAAACCGTGTAATAATGTATTATATTGCTCAGAAATAACATCTGGCTGTGAAGTGTTAGAACATGTTCCATAGTTACGTGAGCTGAT